AAACATCTTTTCCTCTGAGAAAAGCCTCCAGAGCAGTGTTTTGCTCTTCTTTCAGTGAAGAAATACTCTGTAATTCCGATAAAACTTGCTCGATAGCCACGCTAACGCTAGTTTCATCGGCTGAAGCCGCCATGTTCTTTAGACTGAACTGTCGCGCTTCTCGTTGCGTCACACCTCAACCCGCCTCAAAGCCAAAGCTGATTGGACGTTCGTTTGGTGAACGGCTCCAAATTTTCTTTAACGGAGAGTCTCCAGACTGATTAGCGAGTGAAATCTTGAAAGCTCGCGAAATCAGGATGGTCTCACGAGGCTAGATGTAGGCAGAGATACTGTGAGATTATGCTGCTGCAATAAAACCCAGAATTAACCCAAAGGGTCACAGAGCTTGGGTTCATGTTCTACTATAGAGGGAGATTCTGTTTGGGGGAACCCGATCAGGTTGTGATTTTATAAAATAGATCGGGTGTTTTCAACCTGCAGCTCTTTGGCAAACTTTAAATAAAAACCTCTATAGATGGCTTTTAATGGAAGGTAAATATGACAAATGTTTTGCTGTTTTTCTTTTTTTCAGATTCTTCTGTCATTAGGTGAAAAAATGTTCCTCTTTAAAATAACTTTCATTTTATAAAGAAAAAAATATGTATTTTTATTTTAAAACTTTAAACTAGGTATAAAATTGTGTTTTTTTCTTTTTTCTAATAATACATTTCCTATGATATTTATCAATAATCATGAGTCCTGCAAGATATTTCCCCCTAAAACCAGTTTTATTTCGCTGAACTAGACCTAAAAACGTCTCTCCGGGTTGCGAAGGCTGAAGACCCCAGAAGTAGATGTTCTAGAAGCTCCACCCAACTTCTCTTCTATAAAATCAATTCCTTGCAAGTTTAGCTTCACACATTTTTTTAATACTCTATATTAACGCTCTTAGTTTCACGTGTTGGACATTACACGCACACGTCATTAACTTTTATGAATAAAGTCTGTTTGAAGTTTGTCTATAAAAAATTAACTCTTACCGACAGCTTTATACTATAATTATTTACTTAAATTAATTTCAATGAACAAGATGTGAAACTTTTACGTTTCATCTACAAAGAATTTCCCAAACAATTTTTTTCTATATTTGAGCAAATCCACAATTCACAGTACTTCCACACACACACGGACATAAATCTCTCTGCTAAATACATTCCAAAATATAATCTTATACACAAATATATCTTTTTATAGCATCTTTAGAAAGCTGTACACAAGTTTACATGAGAAACAAAAGAAGAAAAAAACAAACTTTGAGATAAAAAAAGAAAAAGTTTCCTTATTGCTGCTTTTTCTGAGGCGTAATTAAACGGTTTGAGGGAAACGTCTCTTTTCCCAGTTGGTCTCCCTTCCACACACACAGCAAACGTTCATATTCCTGTAAAATACGGGGAGCTTGTGGAACTGGAGAAAACAAACGTGGATTAACAATGAGCTTTGACCACAGCTTGACAACACACTGTGAGAGCCAAGATTTACACAAAAACGAGTGAATAAGGAACTCCAAACAAAGAGTCTATGAAATTAAGCAAAAAATGTCTTGTTCTGTCTGAAAAAGAAAACAAGCAGAGATCTGAGGACGTTCGCCTCATCATGTGACGACTAGCTGCTCGCTAGAAGGACTTCAGCTAACCAAAGCCTAGCTGTGATTGTTGGTTTATTGTCCAAATATGGCCGCAGCTGATGCTTGAAAGTCCGTCGACCATGTGGATCAGATTAGTCAGGTAAAAAAAAAAGGCTGGCACAGATAAAGCAGAAAAAGAAAATTTTGCACACATGCAAGTTTTAAACACAATCGCCTATTTACAATATTCACAGAAATCTACAGTTTTATGCTAAAGTTCTACATACGGTCATCATTAGGATGAAAGTCTGAATTTGGAGGCTTTGAATGATCGATTTGAACCGTTTTTATTTGAACAGAGAGGATTTATTCTAAAACATATATGCTCAAAGATCCTGCAGGTTGTTGATACTGAAGCCCTTTTTTTTTGGCTGCAGTGGATGAAGGATTTCTGTCCCTGTGAGGCTTAGAGAACAGCTGGGATTCAAACCAAGATCAGGAAAACAATTTCTAGTTTTTTTTTTTGTTCTTATTTAAACAGTGGAAAGGTTTTCCTTCTGACTATGGAGTGAAATTGGATCCAAAGTTTTGTAAATGTAAAAAAAAAAATTCAATCCAGAAATAACATTTAAAAAAGGTTTTTTAGAGTAACTTTGCACTTTTCTCAGACTTTTATGAATTATTCTATTTTTAAATCAAATTTTTCTTTTATATTTTTATTTATCTATTTTTTTTATATAGTTTATTTTTTTAAATTACATTGTTATTCCCTCTTTCAGATTTTATTTTATGAATTGCATCACTTTGAAGTCGCATTTCCAAATGACTCTCTTTCCCCTGATTAGTTCTATTGTTCATGGACGTTAACATTTTATTGATCAATGAGCAAAAATAATACAATTTATAAAACTCAATCTGAAAAAAAGAAGTTAAAAAATATATACATAAAAAAAAACAGAATCTAAAAAATAAAAAATATATATAATTGATAAATAAGTTATTTAAAGTAACTGAATTATTTTTTTTTAATTTTCAGTGATGGAAATAAATTGATTCCATATCGAACAAAGTCTTAGAATCTTAGATCTGATCAAAAAGTCTTTTCTGATTTTATTTTTTTAGATCAATATTCTCAGCAGGAATAGATTCTGCTTTATTATTAATCTTCTTTGAATAAAATTCTACTAAAAATAATTAATAATCTGCCAGGAAGACAACTGCACCCCTAAAGACTTGAACATATATCATGATATATGTTAAAAAAAAACAAAAAAATAATAATAATAATAATATTGCACTTATTTATTAACTTATTTATTTTGAGTAGAACTTTCTCCACAGCAGATTAGTAATCCAACACAATCTGCTTTAATCCCAAAACCAGATCAAAGAGACTTTCTGCAGTGAAAAAGAATAGTTGAAATTCATAATCTGAAGCCTCCAAATTATAAAGAAATCATTCTAATAACAAGTTTCTGTAAATGTTTGGCCGAGGCATAGAACACTGATGAGATACAGACTGTTTAGCATTTAAACAGTTTTGTTTGATGGTTTTCAGAATCACTCAGTGAGAAAGATGGAGGGATTGCTGCAGGTCAGTAACTGTGCAACCGTCTGGTTTCCCTCACATGGGAAAAATGAACTGAACTTGGCTGCATTGTTTAACACTCAGGATCATACTGAAGGTTCAATTATAATTTCTCTGCACGAACAGATTGATTAAACCTCGATATAAATTGGAGGTTTGTTTCTGTTTTCCATAAAGTGCCTCGAGACGACGTCAGAACTGAACAACAGCTACGATTAGCCGCTACGATCTGAAGCCTAACAGGAATCGGTCTTTTTCTTTAACTTCAGCTGATTTTAACTGTTGCTCTAATGTTGGATTTACTCTAAAAGTGTTTCAGTTTTGGACCTCAAGCTACTCTGATCTGTTTGATTTTTAACCCCTAACATCGAAATGATTCCAGAGTTCAACCTGCAGGTCTTTCACATTGTTCTTTCACATTTTGTCGGTGTTTCTTCTACGCTCATACATTCAACACCTACAATGTGTCTTCGTCAGGAAGACGTCGGACTCTAATCTACGGAAGAGGATTAGGGCCACTAAAAAAAAAAAAATGAACATGTTTTTAAAATATTATTTCAGTTGAATATGGGAAAAAATTCAGAATTCTAACTTTAATCGAAGAATTCTGACTTTAGCTAATTTAGTCTCTAGACCAAGCTATAGCTTGATGCTAACATGTTTGTTAGCTGAGTTTAAAGTCAGAATTCTGAGAAAAAAGTCAGAATTCTGAGAAAAAATTCAGAATTCTAACTTTAATCGCAGAATTCTGACTTTAGCTAATTTAGTCTCTAGACCAAGCTATGGCTTGATGCTAACATGTTTGTTAGCTGAGTTTTAAGTCAGAATTCCGAGAAAAAAGTCAGAATTCTGAGTTTGAAGTTAGAATTTTCCCATATTAAACTGAATTAAACTTTAAAATCTGTTAACTTTTTTATTTTTTCCAAGGCCCTAACCCTCTTGCAAACTAATCTTCATGCTAATAGTGGTTTTGTTTCTCTGCTGCTACTTTCTAGGTTGCGTGTGTTAAAGAAATGTTTACGGTCCAGCCATCAACATATCACTTCCTAACCTCTGCAGCCTCACTGTTTGCTCACTGTTGGAGCAAAGCGACTAAAATCAAACCATTTAAGGACAAAAAATTAAAAAAAAAAGGCTGTAATGTGATCAAAAAAGCAGCAACTGGATAAAAAAAATAGGTATAAAAATAACT